GTACCTGAAAAAAAGTGCTTTTTTTTTGTAAAAAGGTGAACTTATCTTAAACTGACATCAACTTAGAAGACATAAGATCCTGTAAGTGCAGGGCATCATGGATCTACCTCCTGAAAGGGAGCCCAATCAGTACACTTTAATCACAGTGTATGAGCTGATTCACACATGTGCAGTGCAGTTTGAAGCTCCATTTTCACAGCTAACTGACACAGTAGTTGTTCAGCGGTTCAGGTCAGGTTTGCATCAGGTTCAGTTCAGGATTTTATCCTGTTCACACATGTGTAGTTTAGAAACGATTCCCATAGAAGTCAATAGCCTCTAATCCGCACATGAACTAGACTGCTCAGAAATCATACATGACTTTTTCAATCCGCACTGAATCCACACCGCCAGTGCACTACACATATGTGAATAGGCACCATAGGAAGCAATGGCATTTCACATGTCATGCGGATTGGATGCGGATCAATCCGCATCCAATCTGCATATATGTTAACCGGCACTAAAGATGTAGATAGTGGCACTGAAATCACCAAAGGCAAAGAGGAAGAGGACCCAGTGCATCCTGTGACTAGCCTGCAGACCTGTGAAAAGGGAATTATAAAAAAAAAAAAGCATAACATAATGGTGGAGGGGGATTCTGTGGAGGAGTGCACTGGGGTTTGGGGGGTAAACTGAGCCTAGTGTTGGCCTTTACGTGAGAGAGAGGGAATGTACATAGCAATGACTTGATTTAGCAATTTTTCTCTTGTTTACACGTCAACTCCAGGCAAGCAGCTAAACATACTGTTGAAGCAATTTTGTTCTGCCTCTCCAATGTAAGCACTGCAAGTGGGATCTCTAACTAGTCCAGTGAATGAGATGTCTTACTCACAGCCTCAGCAGACAATAACTCAATCCAGCAAGTTATAGAAAGTTTTTACTCCAAAACTTGTGAAGGTCATACAGATGAACATCAGGTCAAAAATTATGGTGTGTATGGCTTCACCAGGATACAGTAAATGTGGAGTATGAAAATGGAGATTGAGCATGAAGAAGGGAGGGACTAACTACAGAGAACATGACCTAGCTACAGAGTGAGGAAGGGACAAAATTATTTAAAGTCAAACACACAGACAATGCACGTGTAACATGATGTGTTTGGTACACTGTTATAAATATTTTTATAGATAAATACTTGGTTCATGTATTTATTATAAGCAAACAAATGGACACAATTCTAATATATTCGTACAATAAAATATTATTTTGATAATAACATTTGTTTAAAACAACAGGAAGATTTTCACTTATTTTTAATACACAAGAAATTATTTTGAGTTAACTTTATTTTACTTGTTTGCAATGTTATATTTTTAATGCTATGTTTTTGAATGATTTTATATCCTTATATTTACTAGTCATATGAAATGTTTATTTTGCAATTAAAAATGCAATACGGAGCTCACTGGTGTCACAGAGGGTTATGAACTTTCTAAAGAAATGGCACAACAGAAACTGCATTCAGAATATGGCTCTAATTGAATCGCTCCTTTGTCTCATTCACTTGTGTGTGTAAATTTTAGCTTGAACTATTCAGCTCTATAAACAAAATACCCTGAGGAAGTCACGTGGTAGCGTGAAGCAACACGTCGGTACGCGAAGAGGCATTTCCGGGAGCGCGGTGATGTCACTTCCGGCGTGCGGGTCATATTTGAAATCCCTGTATTAATACCATTGCAATACATCCATAGCATGAGGTAAAGAGCTGTGTCAAAGAAGAAACAGCATGTGAGTGGGCATTTTATTCCTTACTGTTTACCAAATAAAAAATATGCGGTTTTACACCATGGAGGTTCTTTGTTTGTATATGATCCGGAGGGGTTGCTGCTGACAGAGCTGTGCATATCGGAGGACCTGGGAGTGGATGTGAACAGGATCCTGTGGCCATTCAGAGGGGTTCTGATTCTCAGAGCGATTTGACCCTGTAGGGTCGATTTAAGGAGGTGAGGGGGCACTTTGGCTATTTGAGAAATTGCACGGAGTGAGCACTTAGCAGCACTTGCATGGATATTATCGTTTGAGCACCTTTTATGGACATTTGACGTGTTGTATTATTGTGCTAAATTTATTCACAGCAGAGTGATTATTTGATGTTTTTGATTTTTGAATGTTGATACGACACGGATCACATTCACATATTTTATATTCCCGATGGGAATATACATGTTGCACTTTTTAATAGTTTAACCCTTTTGTACACTGGGGAGTTTGTTGTATTGGTTGGGAGATATATATATTTATGTATATTTATATATATTCACATTTATAGCACTGCACTGTTTAATATATATTACTATTTGACCTCCCGTTGCTGAACTTTGGCTCATGACCCGGCTGCTCTCTGTCTACTGCTTGGTACCTACCTGCCTCCACCGTTACTGACCCGGCTAGTCTGACTACGCTCATTCCTGACTGTCATCCATCCATCCCGCTCAGGACCTGGACTTGTCAGCCTCTTCACATTAGGCTCACCCCCAGCACGTACCCTCAGCGGAACCCCTCTAGCACAGTTGGGTGCACTCAGGGGTCGCGACCTGGTTTCAGTCTTGCACCAAGTCCATCCCCACCATCAGGGGCTCTGGTGAAAAGGCAGACTGGGACTTAGACTCCGCGTCCTGGGGAATCCCGTTCTGTGGATCACTAGAGATTCCGCCGGGTGGTGCCTGACAGTAAGTGGAACCTGATCGGTTTGTTATCTCGGGTTTGGGCTTTAAGAAGGTTGGCCAGCATCAGGCCTGGCTTGTTGGCACAGGCATAGTAGTTATGCTGGGATCATCTAAGCTGTTTTTCAGCCTTGTCTTCAAGAAGAAGGTTTAGTTTCACCCTGGTGGCCTCTAATTGTTTACGCAGAGAGGCAGAGTGAGATGCCTTAAATTTGGCTTCCAACTGTGCAAGATTGGAGGACAAGACTGCTACATAGGAGTCTCTCTCCTTCTTGCAGGATGCAAGTTGTATAAGTTTTACTCTAAGTGTGACTTTGTGAGCATCCCACAAAATCATGGGGGACGAAGTTGATTCAGTATGGTTAGCGAAGTAAGTGGAGTCCTGGATGGCTCTAACCATCTCGCCGAAAGATAGCAGGGAGCCATTAAGGAATAGTGCTGAGGGAATGAAGCCAACAATTTACAACTGAGCAAGAGTGGTGAGTGATAAGACTAAGGATGTGGACAGGATCTTGACATTAAGGATGTCGGGGATGAAAGTTTGAGAAATGAAAAAGTGGTCTATTCGCATGTGGCAATTATGAGTCGTTGAGCAGTAAGTATAATCCCGCACTCTAGGGTTAATGTCAGGGATCCCGGCCGCTCGGCATCGCGCGCATGCGCAGATCGCCGATTCTTCCTGGCCGGCGAACACAGAGATCGCGGCGGCGGCCGCGCATGCGCAGTAGCAATCGCAGCTGCACCAATGGAAACACAGGGCACCCTATTTAAATCTGCCCTGTGCATTTCCAAAGTTCCGCAAGGTCTTGTTCCTGTTCCTGTGTCCCTGCTAGTACATTTCCTTGTTGCCAAACTCTGCCTGTTCTGATTACGCTGACCCTCTCCTGCTCTGACCCTGGCTCGTTCCTGACCATCCCTCTGCCTGACCCTCTGTACCACGCTACCCGCTACCTGCTGAACCTGGCTTGTGACCCCGACCATTCTCCGCTTGCTCCCCCTGTACCACGCTGCCCGCACGATACCGCTCGGCTAGTCTGACCTCGCTCACTCCTAGCAGTCGTCCATCCATCCCGCTCGGATCGGGATCTGTCATCCCATCCATCCCGCTCGGATCGGGGTCTGTCATCCCCTTCACAGCAGACTCATCCCGGGCACATACCCTCAGCGGGACCCCTCTGCCACCGCCGGGGGTGCCCAGGGACGCGACCTGGTTCCGGTCTTGCACCAAGTCCATCCCCACCATCAGGGGCTCTGGTGAAAAGGCAGACTGGGACTTAGACTCCGCGTCCTGGGAAACCCCGTGCTGTGGACCACTAGAGATCCCGTTGGGTGGAGCCTGACAGTTAATCTCCCTCCAGGCATCCACCAAAGCATGTTCAGACAAGAGGTCTGAGAATTACTTTGTTTGTGAGTTAGCCTCGGTGGAGTCCTGGAAGGAGCCAGCAGAGGGGGATCCGTCTAACTGCCTATTCAATACCATGTTACTGTCCCCCATCATGATCAGAGTGCCTTTCCCGTCATGCAGTAGGTGAGAGGAAAATCGGGACTGTTGAGCAATGGGGGCATAATAGTTAACTATGGTCACTTCAACATCTAAAATTGTCCCCTAGAATATTAGATACCGAGCTGTAGGGTCCGCGATTTCAAGAGAGCATATGAAGGGAGAGCATTTATGAAATGCCACTAAGACGCTAATTTGTTTTTCCACAAAGGTCACCTGGAACACTTGGGGGTAGTTTTTGTGGAAATATTTGGGAAAGGAGGAAGTGGAAAATCTGGTTTCTTGCTATCCGATAACATGGGCTTGAAGTGATTGCAAACAAGATTTGTTAATTTGCATACACAAAAAAAGTATTTTTCCTAACAACTTCATTCAAGACCATGTTGTAAAAATGAATACACCCCTAATAAAAGCCTTAGGAGCAAAGCTACCTTTTAGACAACAAAAGCCTTATTACCAAGAATTCAACTACAGGTGAGTCTAATTATTCACTAACCAGGTGTCCAGCACACAGTTGATTATAATAGGGAGTTACTTAACTAAGAAAACCCCTTCCCATTTCATGGTGTGAACAATGTCACCACATGGAAGAGAAATGTCACAAGGCCTGAGAAAGAAATTAAGTCCTTTACACAAGAAAGGTGAAGGCTACAAGAAGATCAGCAAAGCTTTACTTATCAGTCAGAATACTGTAGCAAAAGTGATACAAAAATTTAACAAAGATGGAACTGCAATCATTTCACAGAGACATCCAGGCCATTCACAAATCTTAACACCTCAATGGGAGCGTCTTCTGATGAGAAGGGTAGAAGAAAATCGCTATGCAAGTTCACTGCAGTTGGCTAAAAAAGTAGAAAGTCAAACCGGGGTGATTGTTTCCTGTGACCCATTAAGACATACACTGCAGAGGAATGGCATGCATGGGTGTCATCCATGAAGGAAGGCTCTCCTAAAGCCCATGCACAAAAATGCCCAACAAGAATTTGCCAGGGGTCATGCTGAAAAAAAAAAGACTACTGGGATTCTGTACTCCGGAGTGATGAGACCAAGATAAATGGTTTTGCAACTGATGGTTTCAAAACTGCATGGTGTCGCAAAAGTGAGGAGTACAAAGAAAAATGCATGGTGCCTACCGTGAAACATGGTGGTGGGCACTGTCCTTCTGTGGGGATGCGTGAGAGCTGCTGATGTTGGGGAGCTGCATTTCACAGATGTACTGCTCTATATTGAAAGAGAAGATGCTACCGTCACTCCGTGCCCTTGGTCGTCGTGCACTTTTCCAATGGTCAATGATCCAAAACACACATCTAATGCCACTGTTGCATTTCTGAAGAAGAGCAGGGTGAAAGTGGTTCAGTGGCCAAGTGTGTCTCCTAAACTGAACCCAATGGTACACCTATGGGGAATTCTGAAGAGACAAGTTGAGCATCACTCTCCATCCAGCATGCAGGCTCTAAAAGAAGTCGTTCTTGAAGAATGGAAAAAGATAGATGTTGCAATATGTCAACAACGTGTTCACTCCATGTTAGAAAACTTGGTGCTGTCCTTACAAATAATGGAGGTCATACAAAATACTAAATGTAGTTTTGTTGTTGTGGGGTGTATTCATTTTTGCATCAACTGATTTGAGTAAAACTGAAGATTTTGTAATTTAAGTTATATTATTAACCTTACTTTTATGTAATTAGCAAAATATTCTATGAAACTCAGTTTTGTCAAAATATTGGAAATTGTTCTTGTGTTCACTGAGATATGGATTAAAATCTTATTTTTTGAAAGGGGTGTACTCATTTATGCTGAGCACTGTATATTTCCAGGGAGAGTGAAAACTGGGACACCACAACAAATTTGGAGGTAGCCATCATGGTGGGTAAAAAGTAGTTGAAGGAAGCAATAGAGGTCCAGCCCGGCTCAAATATGGTAGACTCGGGTGTTTCAAACATCCAGGAAGATCAACAAAAAAAAGGAAGACTGGGAGGGAGAATACAGTAAGAAAAGGAAAAGTAAGCTCAACTGCAGGAATGTCAAAGAAATTGCCTAAGCAATAAACGGCGGTGATCATATGCACTGCCATAGGTGGGGGTCGCCGGGGGCTGGCCAGGTGCACACTGGGGAAGGGGAAGGGGAAGAAGAGAGAAAAAAAACAAAAAACAAAAAAAAAGGGGGGGGGGGGGGGGGAATGGGAGAAAAAGTATGTAAATATTAAAACACACTTATACGCAAACTCGTGAGCAGATACAGATAGTACCAGTGGAGAGACATGGGAGGTCACTATCCATCCAGGTGGGACTAAAAGGAAAAATGGTTAACGGGGTCTAGCACCCATGATCTAGAGTAACCTAATGGTTAAAGTCATAGGTTGGTTAAGTAGTAAGGTCTTACGGCACAGCTCCTATGGATTGGAGCAAATAGAAGATTGTAAAACACTAGGGGGTCCCCAAGGGTAGCTACGATCTCCAAGAAGTAAATAAAAACACAATAACATGTATTTTGCAAAATGGGAACCCAAGACCATAGTGATGAACATGCACAGAAACTATTATGTTCACATCTATGGGATCACCCTGGAGCACCCTAGTGGTAGGTGCATGAAGTCAAAAAATAGTGGACCACCCAAAAAATAAGAGGACAGAAAAAAGATGGAAAGATGGTGGAGAGTCAGTCTTCATCCGGAACTTCAAGTCTAGAAGTTGGTCTAGTTTCCCAAAGAGGATTAAGGTGAGGAGATTTGCAAGAAAAATATTGAGAGGCCTGTGAGCCAGTAGAAGTTGGGAGCATGAGCTTCAGCTTGGTAAGGACTTCCTGAGCTTCTTCCCGCATAGTGAAAGCATAAGAATGGCCTTGAAGGAAAAGGTTAGTTTGAAAGTTCCAGCGATATTTAATGCGGTGGTTTTGTAACGTCTGGCCATAGGGCTTCAATTCCTTGCATTACAGGAGTGTTTGCGGAGCCAGATCAGAAAATATTTGGTATTTGTGAGATTGAAGAGTCAGCTCCCTCTAAAACCAGGCCGCTTGCATGACAACCTTCTTGGTTTTGTAAAAAAGTTTGACTATGATGTCATGGGGGGGACCTTCAGGCCTTTTTGGGGCCAGGACCCTGTGGATTCTGTCGAATTTCAGCCTTTCAATTGGAGTTCCTACAATGATCTCCTGTAATAAGGCGGTAACTGTGGAGTTTAAGTCCTCTATGGATTCAGAGAGACGCATGATCCTGACATTACCTCTCCTGCTGTGGTTCTCCAAGTCCTCAAGTTTCTGGAGGGCAGAAGCAAGATCCAATTTGATAGTGTCAGTATCTTGTTCATGGCTATCGATCACCAGGATAGCATTGTCTATTTTGTGTTAAAGATCATCAATATAGGATCCTATGTCCCTTATTTCCTGAGTGATCTTAGTAGTGAGTTGTTACATTGCAGTACTCAATTCCTGTTGAAGGAGAAGTTTAAACTTTTAAAGAAGAGCTGAATCTGGAACTGTTGCAGCTTTGGTATCTGCAATTTGCACGTCAGAAAGACTGTTGTTGGGGGAGTCGTCCAGTTGTGATAAAAGCTCTTGCGACAAGATTGAATGTTCAGGTGAAGATTGCAGAGAGGCCCTTTTAGATGGAGGCCTTTCAGGAAAAGTAGCCAAGGTCTTAGAGGAGCCCACCATTGATTTAGCTGATTTGGCCGGAGTAGTAGTGAAATATTTCCCCATGGTCCCAGGGGGAGCCAGGGGTACCTGGATGAGGAACAGTCCAGAGGCAGTAGTGGTCATTAAGCAGGATAGCTCTGAGGAGTGTCAAAGCCTGCAATACAGTGCCCGAGGCAATAAGATCATATGATATTAGGAGAAGCGCTGAAAATGAGTCTGGCGCCACCTTGATTTAACTGGGTGGACAGGGCACCGTGGTTCCCCAGAGAATCAGGTGGCACAGGTATCCTATAGTGTACAGGGAGTTCTACCCTCCAGGGCTCACAGGAAGCAGATGGCAGGCAGGGACCAAGGTTTAAAAGTAGGCAGGAACAGGCTCAGGTTGTAATGGGAGAGCAGCGGGCCACAGGTGGAAGGATCAGGCAGGACAGAAGGTGTCGTAATGGTGGTGGGGACGTCCATCCTTTCCCGCCTATGCAGGAGGCCTAAATCAGGAGGGCAGTGGGTTGCATTGGTACCCAGGCTACTTTGGAGGTGTCTGTGGTTCCTTCCTTGGGGGTACAGTCCGCCCGCCAGCTGAGACAGTCTCTTACTAGGCCTGTGTGGCTGCAGGGGCCCAAAAAGCCGGGAGCTGGCATGGAGGAGCAGCAGAGGTAGTGGAGACCCGGTCCGCCATGACAGATAGGCCACAAGGGTTGGGTGGCAGCCAAGAACCCAGCCGTGGGGTGGGTAAAAAGCAGAGGTAGGTTAGGCAGATGTGCGGGTTTGCAATGTGGCTGCAGGTCGGGGATACTCATTCAGATTGCAAGGTGGTGGTGGCCATCATTTTCCCTCATTCATAGAGTGGTACCTCTGGTGACAGGGGCCATAGACCCGGCGATCTGCGCCAGTCAGACATTGCAGGCAGACCTGCAGGATTCCAAGAGAGCCGAGGATGGGAGGCACTGCACTAAAAGGTGTGTGGGTGATGTTGTACACCCGGGCAGTGAGGAGCCAATCTAATGTGCGGCCACTTTTGGCAGCTGCTTAACAGCGCAACCCTCCCTTACTTTTTTTTTTAAAAACAGCAGCTAAGAAGAGTGAAAAACTCCATTTGAAATGGATAAATATGAACACTATGAAAAAGTTCTGTAAAAGATATACAAGAAAAAATTACATATTTATTTCAGTTAATAATTTTTATTGCTATATACAATTTATTGATAAGTGCTGGCTCTTATAGTTTTTCATGGTATATTGGTATATAATTATACAGCTGACATCTAACAGAACACTAAATAGGTACATTGTACAGCTGACACCCCTAGCTAGTGATGCTAGCTCACTTAAGGCGCACCTTGGTTTTGCCAAGTGATAGGCTGCTAACCCTAGAGGCCTCTGAGCTACTTGCTGCAAGATGACACCGGATCATGGCCGTAAGGATTTCTCCACTAGGGAGTTGGAGGAAAAATGTAGCAATTATCTGGCGAGCAGAATGGAGAATAGAGGCAGGGGTCAAGGCAAGCAGCAGGCAAAATAAAACAGGAAAGAGCAGGGCCTGCAATGAAATACAGCCAGTCAGGCAATCTAGGTCAGTATCAAGCAAGGCAGAACATTCTCATGAACATGGTAGCTGGAAAAAAAAAGACACAGCACCAGCCATCTCAAGAGAAGAAGTTTAAATTCCCCTCTAAGGTCTATTCCCAGTGTCAGGGATGCATGCTAAAGCATGTTAACCCATGCCTGCAAATGCAAGCTAACATATGCATGTTACACACACAGAAGGTCATAGCTCTAAAAGGCTAGAATCTGTTCTGGTTGTACAGGCATGGATCTTACAAGCACTGTAAGAGTGCAAATGCTGCCTGTTTGTTTTGGGGAGCCCATTAAGAGGGGCATTGTCTTAGTCAGAAACTGACCTGAGTTTAGTTAGTTACTTGGACCAACAGATGTTTTGCTTGCTTTATACTATTTACTTGTTGCACAAAGGCCTGCATTGAAACTGTGTTTGCCTTGCTGAATACAAAGGGCGGGACAAACACGGTTTAACTTCTCCTAGGTGTCCTTGTCTTGTGCATGATTTACTGTTGCAAACACCGGTTGAGTCTGTTCCTCAACAGAGGGGGTATGTGGAGCAGAGTACCTAGACTAGGAGAGGGGGTATGTAGAGAAACGTCACTGGACTAGAAGGGGGTGTGTAGAGGGAAGGTCCTGGACTAGGAGAGGGGTTGTGTAGAGTGAAGGCCCTGGACTAGGAGAGAGGCTACCTGGAGGCTGTGGACTAGAAGAGCAAGTACCTGGAGGCTCTGGACTAGGAGAGGGGGTGTATGGAGTCCCTGGACTATGAAAGGGGAGTCTGGAGGGACTGCTGGATTCAGGAACAAAGAGCCTGGAATGAGGGATCCTGAGATCTGGAGGGTGAGCCTGGAGTTGATGAGTTCAGAACACACATGGGGCATGTATTTATTGTTTTACAGCAAAGTAATGCAAAAACAGGGGCAGACAGACATGTTAAGTGACAGAATTATTAAATACCTGACACCTCTTCCTCTTTCCTGGTATCTATCCTATGTTGCAATCCAAACCTGATTGTAGGGTGGCCCAAACAGGGCCTACCCCCTTATATGTACACTAAGCAGAAGCTTAAATGGTGGCTCCCAGGGAGTGAATGGCAGTAGCTTCTCCAAGAAGCATAGCTGTCTTTGTATTGTAAAAATACTTAATATTTACACTGTATACATTTATTACATGGGCTATTTGATATACAAAATAATGCTTTAAATAGTTTTTTCTTTTTTT